AAGCGGCCAGTGTAGACAGCTGGCAAGTTTTTCCGCAAAAGCAGATGATTTTGCGGAAAAACTTGCCAGTCTAGACACAGCCCCATTGATTTCAGTGGTGTTGGATTAGGCCTTTAATACTGTTCATGCTTGTATTTTCAGGAAGCTCCTCTAAACAAATGAGGATACAAGTAGCAGCTTGTGTAATTTTGTGTCTTGGAACCGCTGCAGAGATGAGCAGCAACCCTGTTCCTGTAGTGGGAACTTCTGCGTAGCTGCAAAGCAGTCACATAGCGGAAAAGGCAGATTCCCATTGGTTTCTATTAGAAATTTGCCTGAGGGACAGTGGCCGGATGAGTTGGCTCTGCTAATAGGAAGATACTGACATTAGCAGAGCCTTAGTTCTTCTACAAACTTTGTAGCTGCAGCAGGATACAATGATTCGCTGTACCATGGGGAAAAGAAAAGGATTATATTTAATTGTGAACATATCAGCTTGCAAACAAGGAATACATTGTCAAACCAGGCTTTTTAGCTGATCCGTGTTCTCCAAATAGGGCCTTTGGTAGCATTCCTCTGGGTTCCCTCCTATGTGAGGAGAAATGAGTATGTTTCACCTGCATCCATGGTTCTCTAATGTTCATTCAGAGGTTTGACTAGGTGGAATGTAGGATAAATAGATTTGTAATGTAGGTTCCAGCCAGATGTGTGATTCGCAGTCAGAACTTCTGAAATAACAGACTGAATCAGTTTCACACCAAGATGGAGGTGCACAGTAGCTACTTCACAAACTCCCAAGGAAAGGCAGTAGAACTATTCCTTGTACTGCCAAACTTCAAATAACTACAATGAAACAGTGTTTTTAGTTGCTGCTTAGTGTGATAGCAGCAGCTCCAGAGGAGACTGACCCCTGCCATTGCTTGAAGTACCTTCAAACTGGAAGGGTTGGAGGATCACAGATGCATCATGCCTAGGGATGTTACACTTTGATTAATTGACTAATCCAACAGTCGATGCAATTTGCATCAACTATTCGATTAGTCAATAAGGGTGCCTCTGCCTTTGAAGTGTAGCAATAGTCCCAGGCTGTTACTATACTTCAAAGCGAAAGTGCTGCAGGGAGCATGGGGCCAGCGGGGGACTCAAGCAGTAACCCACTGGCCCCGTGCTCTCCATGGTGTTTCAAAGCAGCAGTGTCGCATGAAGTCCCCAGCTGACCCCGGTCTCCACGTGGCGCTGCCACTTTAAATCTGGCCCTTGACTGCATGTGGCATTTCAAAGCAGCAGTACCATGTGGAGGCCAGGGTCTGGCCCTGGGCTCTACGCAGCACTGCTGCTTTGAAGCAACCCTTCCTCTTCCCCCTGCCTTTTGCTGCCTCTTTCTGATAGAGGCAGCAAGGGAGGAGGGGGAGGAGTGACTAGTCATTCACATCCCTAATCGTGCCCTCCTGAAATTACTGAGCTGGTAAAAATTGGGCAGTTTTTGCTACAAGATCAGCAAAATGCAGCACTATAGAGTTTACACATATGTAAACTCGTGCATTTTAGAGACATTCCAGAATGTGGGTATTTTAAAAAGTCCTCCTCCCCTCTCCCCAACCTCCCGACAAGCATCACATTAGGAACCAGTGTGTACTAGAAAGTAAAATATACTGAACATATTCTTACCAGACAGGCAAAACTTCGGATGCCTGCCATTTGCCTCTCTCAGAACTGGAGGCCCAATGAATAAAGGCTTGCTATAAAGCCAAGAGCCAAGCCATGTTCTTGGTTATTTATTATAGCCATGGCCTCCTTATTAGTCCTAATATCGCATTTCTGTGAGTTAGGTTTTTAGAAATCTATCAGAAAGAGGCAGCAAAGGGCGGGGGGAAGAGGAAGGGTTTAGTATGTGTGTGCAGGTGAGGGGGTATGAACATGTCATTCAGTAGCAATCTACTAGCTGTCAACTTTTAGAACAGTCTGGGAGTCATTCTGCATTACTGATCTGAGGAAAAAACTTCCACTAATGCATGTGAAAGGCCCTGTCAGATTTGAGGATTGTGCCGGGACATGTGCTGTTAGTCTTGTCCTGAGCCTTGTGTCAAAACCAAATAGATAGAAAACAAAATACTTGTGTAAGTAGTTTCGTGTTTTCATCCTGCCACACTCCCAGGTTCCCTAGTGCCAGATCCAAAGCTTAAGATGGTAGTGACTGGCTTCCCTTGGCATAAGTGAATGTTGCAGACAGTTATACAAATGCCCTGGGTGTGACTACCTTGTGGAAGCAGTCCTGCGGCCCTAGCAGTGGAGATGATTGCGCTCCTGGCTAAACACAAGACGGTTTCAATTTAAAAGCAAAGTGGCAGACTGTGAGGCTTGAGGCTGGGTTTGCAGTACTGTAGTACTCCTGCTGCTCCCCTTTGGCCCTTGGCGGCTGGCTCTCATGGTCCAGGACCTTGAGGTCTTCGCGTCTCAGATTCCCAAACTTTTCCTTCATGCTTAGTGACTGGTGGGGAGGAGTCAGCCTTGAAATAAAACACCTCTTCCCCCTCCCCTTGTGTTTAGTACAAGCCAGGCACACGGGAGGGAGATGACAGGCCAAGCAGGAGCCCTGTGTCACATACACGCATAAAAGCAGGAATCAAAGTGTGCAGCGGTCATGAGCTGCCACCTCCTTTCAGCACCGCAGTCCCTGGACAGGGCAAAGTGCAGGGTTGTGCTGTAACAGGCAGCTCAACTCAGACAAGCAGTGGCTGCCTTGCGCTCTGCTGCTCTGGGGCAATTCCGTCTCGGCCCTCCTCGTGTGTTCACACTGCTGCTGTGCAGGGTCCCTGCTGCCAACCTTGGATGACCATGTCCAAGGGTCCGCTGGAGCTCCTCGGAGCTTCGGACTGCATGTGCTCCTACGGGATGAAGCTCACCTGGGACATCAATGACCCTACACTGCCGCAGGTAGGAGGGAGAGGAGGGGGATGGCGCTTTGATTTGAGGAAGCATGGTTTTAATTGCTTGCAGCAGTGCTCTCTGCCTGGCTCCAGCCAGCCCAGAACGAGGAGTCAGACTGGGACCATTCCCAGAACCTCACCTAAACAGCTGCACTTTGTGCACACAGAATTCAAGCACTTGTTTAAATTGAACAGGCTTCAGAACTGGATGGTCCTGGCTGTCCTGGGGCATTTATGAATCCTGTGTCTGGGAGACATCAATTCTGGACTAAAGGTTTTAATAAAGCTGGTTTAAAGCCCAGAGTTTACCTATTGTCAAATTATATGGGTGAGGCTAAGGGAACATGGGGAATGGGCATGTAGACAGCCTGCAATCAGAAATTGTAAAGGAAAGACGCCAAAATTGTTCTTCTGTGAGGTTCCTTTGCTCATTGGTTTTAGTTTTTGTGGCTTCTGGAATTTGTTTGAAAAAAAGACAAGATCTCAGAGATCTGATCGCTGTATTTTAATTCAGTGACAATAAGAAATTATACCTGACTGGTCTCTTTTAAAAGTGATAAACTGTGTATGTTTGGGTTGTTTTATACTGGACAATATCATTTTATATCTGTCTATCAGGCTACTTAAAAACTGAAAAGATATGGTGGAATAATATCTTTTATTGGACCAAAGAGATATGATTTTCAGCTGGACATAGCTGAGAGAGGTATTCAGAAGTACCACACCTGAATGCAAGGCAAAATGTTAAACATGGGGATATACAGTGGTGATTTGTTGAGCAGGATAGTAGACCTCAAAGTCATATTTTAATCCTTCTTTATAATAATATTTGGATGCTTCCATATATATTTAAGTGCTTAGAAAACACTTATGAGTGCCATCAACAGCCCTCCCCCTAAATAATTTTAAAATTAGCTATTACTGTAAGTCCAATGGGGAAATCACTCTCAAAAGTTTCCAGACAAATGTTAAAACAGAAGCGAAGTTTCAGGATCCTTTTCCTATCTAGCTATGAAGAAGGGGAAACTGATCTCAACCTCTCTGAAATCTGTGTTTGACCCACACACATCCTGTGATTGTGACCCCAAGTATGAAAGCTCATGCAATAGAAGATAAAGCTGGAAGAAGAGATTCCTTGATTTTATATACCCAATGTCTCTTTAGCTTCAGTACTTTCAATCTTTTATTGGATTCTATAGAATATAAAGTAGACTTTGTAATAGAATTCAAAACCAAAAGATTTGGAGAATGTTTCCTGCTGTGGAAGAATTCAGTAGTATGGAACATTAGGTGCCTGATATTGCAATAGGTTACTCACACCAAGGGTATGTTTACACATCAAAGATAAATATAATATCATATAATTAATAATAAATAGCTATCCTGCATCTTTTGAATGTATCCGCTCTTTCAAAATGTAGTGGATGCACTATTTTGTCATCCCTGTAAGCCTCATTCTACGAGGAGTAAGGGATGGCTTGAAATAGCGCTTCATTTCAGAATTTGGCACTGTGTAGACAGCACCAAATGATGTGCTATTTCAAAATATACTCAAAATAAGCTATGCAATTTTTGTAGCACAAATTGCGTACAGTATCTTATTTCAAGTTTCGGGTGCTGTGTAGACGCACCTCAAGAGTCCCACTGAAAGCAGTGAGATAACTCGGGTGACATTTCCATTACTGGGATTCCATGCCTGAGCAAAGTTGCTTTTGTGCATACATTTTTTGCAGTATCAGGACCTCATTGTTTGAATTGCAAGTACAGAGTGAGTGTTTAGAGACATTGGTTTGCATTGTTATAAAAAACTAAAAATGTGTATTCCCGGTTTCATTCCCATCAGTGACAAAATACCCTCAGTGGTGCCTGGATTTCCCCACATTTGTTGCTGCATGGAACAGTGGGAATTATGGAGAAGAATTTTAAGGCTTCCCATATTCATATAGTTGTTTTATGGAAACTCAGAAATTGATTCTGAAAAAAAATCTTCTCCGATGGACCTTATGATATAAAATAAGTTAAAACTTTCTCTGCAAATCTTATTTTTTTCAGAAACTGCTTTGCTTGACTCTTCAAATATGCAGGCAATCTGAAATTGTTAAAGGTACTTCACTCTAACAAAGGGAAAAATCATATATTCCTGAACATGGCAAAAGCAATACAATCACTGGATAGAAACAAAGAATTTAAGGACTTGTTATATCTTTTTGGAAATACAGTTTTATTATAGCCTCCTTGGGTTGTGGTAGGGAAACATTATCTTTGAGCTAAATAACTTGAATAACCTATAGAACAATTAGTAATAAAAATGGACTTGAAGATGTTGGTTTGAGTAACTCTGGAGTTTTTTTTTTTTCCTTTTTAAATGTTAGATGCCTTTGACGTCCCATTGTTTTTTTTTCAAATCTATTTTTGTAGTCCCTAAAGCTTGTCAGTTAGTCATTTGGACTCTAATCCTGCAAACACTCAAGGACACACTTAATTTCATAAACACATGTAGTCCAGTTGAGTACATTTGAATCACTTACAGGCATACATTTAAGCAAATGACTAAGTTTTGGAAGTTCAGGATCCTACTTTTCTTTACTGAGGCTATAACAAAGAAAATAATTTTTAAAAATCTCTGTTATTCTCTCATAAGAACATAAGAACGGCCATACTGGGTCAGACCAAAGGTCCATCTAGCCCAGTAGCTTGTCTGTCAACAGTGGCCAGCACCAGGTGCCCCAGAGAGTGTGGACCGAAGACAACGATCAAGTGATTTGTCTCCTGCCATTCTTCTCCAGCCTCTGACAACCAGAAGCCAAGGACACAATTTCTATCCCCTGGCAATAGCCTTTTATGGACCTAACCTCCATGAAATTATCTAGCTTCTCTTTAAACTCTGTTATAGTCCTAGGTTTCACAGCCTCCTCTGGCAAGGAGTTCCACAGGCTGACTACACACTGTGTGAAGAAGAACTTTCTTTTATTAGTTTTAAACCTGCTACCCATTAATTTCATTTGGTGTCCTCTAGTTCTTCTATTATGGGAACTAATAAATAACTTTTCTTTATCAGCCCTCTCCACACCACTCATGATTTTATA